ATGTCCTCTTTTTGTGTGTTTATTTTTAACTCTAGGTCTCTGTACATTTCATAATAATGCTTTATCACCTCAAGTTGTCTTTGAAAGCATTGTTTGGATCTTTTACTTCATCGTTTATTCCATTTGACTTATATACTCTTAGTTTTCTGGCAAAGTGTAGGAATATCTTTGAAATCCATTTTGATTTATTTTCTTCATTGTCTCTGTAACATCCTTTTGATTGTCTTCTGCATAAATCCCTGCACGTCATCGCACAATGCATATGACCATTGGTTGTTAGTGTTCAGGACGTCACTTTTATTCTTGATATAGCCTCTAGATTCAGGTAGGAAATACCGAAGGTTGTAAGTTGGCCTTTTTGGACTTGTTTGTTTTTACACTTTCACTTTGAATTTTCAAAGGAGTACTTGGTAGCTGCTTCTCAGTAACCCTGTTCCTCCCTTTTTTTGATTGAGGCTATTTGTTTTCTCTTCCTTTCCATGGATGGATTTAATTTAATCTCTATGTATTCAGTCTGATGATGTGGCCAGTTAAGTTTCTGAAAAGGCATTTCCCATAAATAAGCCAGTGTTTTTACAAAAATCCTTGTTTCAAACTTTGACATCCCAATCACCAATAACTATCAATGAATCCTAATTGTGTCTTTCATCACTTAAATTTGCATATATTGGTTAAACATTAGTTTCTTTGAATTTGCCATAAAAGGTTGATGTATTCATTTGAATAATAGTTAGCTGGGATTAAAATGGCATATATATATTTTTTTCCTATCACTGACACACCTGTACTTCAGGGAAGATCTTGAAATATAGTTTTTGACAATGATTGTGAGTTTTTTCAACCTTTCACATCTGGTATAGTTGAGCATATAAATGCTATTTTCAAAATGGTTAATATTAGTCCACTTTGGGTCACTAATACCTACAATATATATCTTTAAGCATCATATTTCATGTTTGAAACTTTTAATTTCCCCATATTCAGACTTCATATATTCCACATACTGAGTATTAATGAATATTTACAACTTTGACTCAAATTGTTTCAGCAAATTGAAGTCCAAAATGAATGCACTACTCCCCACAATGCTTGGGTATCCACTGCCTTTCTCAATCTCCCTATGAATGATATCCAACCTAAGGGAATTCTCTTCATTTGCTTTTTATTTATTTAAATTAAAAGTAGATCAATAAGTCCTTCTTCCTGGTGTCCCTGGATGAGGGAGCTCCCACTGAAACTTGTCCACTTAGGTTGACCTTGCTGATATTATAAGTATCAGTGACATAGTTTCCAACCTCAGAGTACCATGCAAACAATGCAGTAAAACACATTTCCCAGCAATGAAGAGGATAGGAATCTAAAATAGGAAATACCCAGGGCTCCTTATTTCCCTGTATGCTCCATGTCAGCCAAATGTGTGACATCGAGTCTGGACAGCTAATGCTATTTTAGATTTCATTATTACAAATATAGCACATAGATCAAGAAAGATATAGTCTCTCTGGGTATTGGTCAGACAGCATCTGATATAAGAGGTATAATGCTTCCTCCTATAAGACATATATCTTTTTCTCACAGGCTGCATTTTAGAGTCATATTTAAAGCTCTGTCAAATTTAACTTCAATTTTTGTTTAGAGGCAATCTTCAGCAATTTCTAATTCCCATTTTTACTACCCACCCCCCAAACACACACTCTTTTTTTAATTCAAATGCTCACAGGGATCAAGATTCTAAAATCAAAAAAAGACCATAATGAACCGAAAATTAAGATACCATCTAAAGCAGCCATTTCAGCGTCAGAGACTCGTCATGCTTCATCCACATATGGCTACTTGTGGCTGCCAGGGCCAATGACCTTAGAGGCAACTCCCATGCTTCCAACCCCAATGGCTCCGTCAGAGGAGAACACTGCTTTCTGCTGCTTCCCGGGGGCTGCATTTTCTGAAGTCAGTTACTGAACTTTCTTGAAGGCATCCTAGGCTGGACGCAAACTCCCGATTTTGTGGTTAGCAGCTCAAAACTATTTCCATTACTCAAGGACTTATTCTTTATTATTACTCATTAAAAATTCTTTACAGAGATTCATTTCATTACAGCTATTTCTTTGTTTGAATTGTCTGATAGGACTTTTATGTGTGAACTTTCTTGTTTCTCTCTCTTTCTTTCTAAATTTAAGTTCCAGTAAAAATCAGAGATGAATCAAGTAAAAATTCTGAAGTTCAAGTACATATTAACAAAGATAACAACGTGTTCTCACAGTGTCATTATCAAAATATTTATTCCTTCTACCATGTTTCCAAGGAATTTTATAGGAATGTTTAAATAGAATATCATTACATTTTATTTTTTTAAACATTATAATTTATTTTCTAGCCAAGGTCATAGCCCTGTGTAGGTATATGTGTGCACATGTGTCAAATAAAAACCTGACAATTCATTTTTTGAAATTTAAAATAAACTCATCTTAGTATAAACCAATCACGAGAAGACAATTTAGCACAAGTAAAATGGGTCACTTTGGATTTGGAAATGAAGAAGCTTTTCCTCCCAATCAGCGATCTCACATATCCCAGGGTTAAAGGGTTCTCTGAGGGAAAGGCACTTAGAAACATTTCTAGACAACACACGGGTAGAACAGAATAAACTTTGATTTCACAGTGATAAGAAGACAGTATTTTCAGGAATTCATCATAAGAACCTTGCTTAATGGAAACAATAAAATGAATGACAAGCAAATATAACAGAAGGCAAACATAAACTACAAAGAAAAATTATTAAAGAAAAATATGAGACAAATAAAGTTGCATTTAAACAGAGTGGCTTGATAAACCCAGGGCAAACAACAGAAGTGGTCCCTGGACTGTATAGAGAGCTGCTAGCAGTTCAGAGAAACACATATGGAGTCAGAGGTGCTTAACATTTCTGAAATGTGAGTAAACATTAACATCAACAGTAACTACAACATGAGGGACACCGTGACTTGAAGGAAAGCTGGAATTAGCTCTGAGTCATGAACTTCAATTAATGTCAGGGGGTGTTCAGAGGGCAATGAGATTCGTGAAGACATGAAAAGAGAGTGGGTACATGAACTAACCATCATGAGACGGAAATGAATACTGTTTGCTCAGAGATGGCAGATAAAGGGTTTAGATGTCTTAATGGGAAGCATGGGGATACTGACTCCTGTATTATGGATAGGTGCCCTGGAGCGGACCCCCACCTCTAGTGAGTCTGTGCACAGCAGAAGGCAGCACTGCGTGGGGCTGCACCATCCTTCCAAACGCTATGTTTGATCCATTGTTGCAGGCACCATGCCAGTCTAGATGCTTGAAAGCCTCCCTGTTTTTATTACTGACCCTCCACTTTACAAAGCAGGGTGTCATTTCCCAGACATTGATCTCCCTGATAACATGTCCTAAGGTCAAGTCCTCCCTTCTAAGCAATATCTTGGCTGCATAGTCCCCAAGATTTGTTTCTTCTTTTGACAGTCCAGGGTACTTTCAGTATTTTCCCTGACACCATAATTCAAATGCAGCAGTTTTCTGTGTGTTTCCTAATCCATTGTCCAGCATTCACGTGTGTGCACAGAGCTTGGTAGGACCCTGGACTGGGGCAGGTGCATTTTATTCTTCAAAGTGACATCTGGGCGTAACAGGTGCATTTTATTCTTCAAAGTGACATCTTGGCCGTAACAACTTAAAGACACCTTCAGCAGCAGGTTTGCCATTTGTCTTCTCAGCTGCTGCTTCAATGTCCATAGACTGGATCCAAATAGAACAAAATCCTCGGCAACTTCCATCTTTTTTCTTTCTCAAGCTTTTGTGCATCGGTCCAGTTGTGAGCATTGTTGTTTACTCTCCACTGAGTTGCAATCTACACTCAAGGCTGTATTGCTTGATTTCCATCTTCAAGTCTTCCTCAGTATCAACCTGCAAGGTGGCGTCATCCGCATGTTGTAAGTTGTTAAGGAGACTTCCTTCCATCTTGATGCTGCATTCTTCATATATCCCAGCTTCTTGGATTATTCCTTGAGATATGCAAAATGAATAATTATGATGAAAAGATACAACACCGATGCACATGTTTCCCTGATTTTAATCTATGCAGTATCCCCTCATTAGGTTCGAATGACTGTCCCTTGCTCTGTGAAGTGTTCTGGAAATTCCACTCTTCGTAATGATATCCATGGCTTGTTATGGTTAACACAATCTTTGCATAATCAATAGCACAAATATTTTATCTCGTGTTGATTGCTTTCAAACAAGGTACATCTGTCATCGACGAGGATATCTCTGTGAGCACTCTTTTCACTCCAGCTTGAATTTCTGCCGGTTCCATGTTCATGTACTGTTGCAGCCAATTATGAATTGCCTTCAGCAAGTCTGGACTCACAGTTGTTCACATTTCTCCATTCTGTGTGCCACCTTCTGTGGAACGGCCACATATAAGGTCTAGTCCAGTGGATTGATTCGTTAGCTGTCTAAAAATGTCTTGGCATTTTTAGTGCTTCCAGCAACATCAGTCTTTTAAAGCATTTCTGTTGGTATTCCATCAATTCCCTGGAAAGTTATTTGTTACTAATGCCTTTATTTAAACTTAAACTTCATTAATACAATTAGCCTATGATCCTATATTACCACACTAAATGATTGAAAGTTGACCGATATTTTAGGTTTCTGTGACCCTGTGTATTCCTTGTGTCTCCTTTTGATGCTTCCTGCATCATGTTTTTGTTTGTTTGTTTATACTTGCTCAGTATTTGAACTCAAGGCTTGAATTTTCCTTCAATTCGTTCAGCTTGAATTATTATGTTCTTCCCTTTAGGTTTTTTTATTTGAAATTTTTACATCATATCATGATAATATTTTATTTTGTGTTCTTGAGCTGCCTTTAGAAATCTTATGTACAGGTTTTTATGTCCTCGTTTCTTCCATTTATTTTAACTACTGTACATTCACGAGCAAGTTTCAGAATATTCCACTGATAAGAATGCTTTGAGTGGAGAACTGAGAAGATGAGGCAGCTCGGTAATGAGCTGCCATCCACTGATGAAAGCCCACGAAAGTGAAGGGTCGCCAGGGCAGAGGATGTCCCTCTGCCACCTTCAGAGGGGCAGTGCCCTGCTGGCCGACATTGTAAAAAAACAAACAAACAAAAAAAAACTGAATGCTTTGAGAGACTTCCCTATAAGCCCTCTCTTACATGGGATATGGGGAAAGAACCAACCTTATTTAACAGGACTTGAGTGGGACCAGTTTACAGTGAAGAGCTAATATATCTTTCAACCAAAGTAACGATTAGAAATAATTTGAATTTGAAGGGACGTTGTAAACAGAATTGTTTATTTTAAAATTATATTGATACTAAAATATACTCTTAGTTTGGGGTAGCTAGGTAAACAGAGCAATTTTCACTTTTCTTGGAAAAAGCCAGAACATTTGATGAATAAAAAAATACTAAAAATTATAGAAGGCTAAATAGAAAGTAGAATAGATTTAATACACACCATTGGCATTGGGCTAACCTCAAGTTCCCAAAGATGTTCAGTTAAATTTATGAGGTAATTTGATAGAACAGACTCCCTTACCTGTAAGTAGGGAGCATTATAACACGGTGTTTTTAAACAGACTCTCACTAGAAACAATTTCTTTATTATTTAAAATGCTCTCAACACGAGTTGAGCTAGTTTTAGTAACTGATTTCACACTTCCAGTACTTTTATACTTCCTCTTATGCATGAACATAGCAAGATATTATCTTGAAACACTTTTCTCCAAAGGCCTTTCTATGTGAGGATTTTTCTATTTATTCAGATGCATGCATATGGTTTTAGATAAAATAAATCTCCACTTTCTTACACCAAGAATGAAAAAAAATTAAAGAAAGAAGGTAGGAGGGAGAGAAAAAAATGGTTAAGTGGAAAGGAGAAGGAAGAAAGGGAGGAAGGGAAACAGGCTGTCCCATGTGTTCATCTCCAAATTAGAATCCTGATGCCAATGTCAAAATAATAATTGTATAGATTACAAATTATGATATGAATAAACTAGGTGTTTTAAGTGAGGATCATCCCTGAGGACCACCAAACCCACACTATCTCCCTGACGTCAAGTAGATGCTGAGTCATAGTAACCCTATAGGACAAAGTAGAAGCAGAATTTTTGAGGTTGTAAGTGTTTACTAGAGTAGAAAACTTCTTTCTCTCCAGGAGCAGCTTGTGATTTTAAATTGCTGACCTTGAAGTTGGCAGTCTGATGCACAAGTACTGCACTCCCAGCACTCCTGACTCTCTTCACACTGAGAGGAGAAAGGAGAAGGAAGTGCAAGAAATCTTTTGGGGGGAAGATGTCTTAGGGGTTGGGGAGAAATGGTCCTATCTGAAAGACAATGAATTGATTAATGTGTAGTCAAGATAGAAAGACTAGCGAGCTTATCTCAGTGTACTGACATAATTCAAAGACACATAAGTTATCTGTGGTCACACTTGACCTGTGAGTTTGTGTTTGTCTCTTTGTCCCCATTGTTCTTGGATGGAACTGTCACCTACCTATAAATAGTTAAGAAGTGTCCAGTGACATTGAGTCATGCCACAATATATTCTAACAACACGAATGTATAGGAACATAGTCCTTTCATCTGGTCTGAGATGCTCATAAATAGGATGTTCATTAATTTGAAATTTCAGACTCAATCAGTTACATGAATCACAACTTACTCTCAAGTGTAACCTAATTTAGACAATAAAATGAATTAGCCTATGCGGAAGTACTGCATCCCCTGTCATCTGTTTTAAGGCAAATAAAATTTTAAGTATAAATGTCCAAACAATATGGTGATGTGGTGATAATGAAGCAACTATGCTAGACAGGACCTGATGGTGGTGAAGCCTCCCTTCCATCCAAGGACTTGTCTCTTCTTCTTTCTCTTGAAAAAATTAGCAACATGAATACCAAAATTTACATAATTAATATGGTGTTTTAGTATTGTTTTTATAATCCCACAATGACTATTATTAACCACATGCTATTTCATACATCTGAATATTGATATGATTAAATACCAAGAAATGACATTGTCAAAAGAATATATAAGAAAAATGTACTTACATTTTTATTGGTATTGTATCTATAGAGTTTGCAAAAATTCACACATCCCACTAATTTCCCATTCTTTGTTCACATTATATTTAATCTAATATTTTGATTTGGGAAATAGGATAGATTTAAAAAAACTTTTTTTTTTTCATTTTAGTATCCACTTGCTTTTTCAAGAGTAAAACTGAGCATCTTTTCAAATGTTTCCCATGCAGCTTATCAATTTCCCTGTTTTTTTAGATCATTAGTTTATTCCTATTTTTTGTAAGCGTTAGGACATTTGCTTATGGATTTTTCACTTACTCTTTATAAAGTTATTTGTTATTATGTCTTTTAGTTATTTTGTTTACTTTCTTAGTATTCAGGACTCCTGAGCTTATTTTGATAATTAAATAGATTCTATCTACTGAGACTTTACTTAACATACACGTTTTCAAAAGACATTGCCATTTTATCTAACATCATTTTTATGGTATATAGTGGCAATTTACATTGAAATATATTTAAGTTTAAATACAATCTCCATCTGTTTTATATAAAGTTCAAAGCTTCATTATTTTTCCCAATAGCATTACTCAAAATCTGAAAAGCATTTCTTGAGATAAGTCATTTCCTTGATGACTCTTCTTTTTCTTTTTTCTAAATAAAATTATACTGTGTTTTCAATGGAAGTTTCCAGAGGATATTAGAATTTTATTTAACTTTTTTTCTCCAACTGGTCAGTCATATTGGTAATGGCTCTTCTTATTTAAATTTTTGGGATATGGCCCTTTGATTGTTTTGTTTTATTTTTCTGTTCAGTCAAATGTTCCAATTTCTTAACCAGTAGTTTGAATGCTGTGTGAGGTAAGCTAGAGGTCTGGTTCTTATATGGCAGCTTCTTATACTTTCTCCAGCTCCAAGAAAATTAAAGAATATCCATGGCCATCAGTGTCATTGCTTCAAATTTTGTATGAAATCAGCTATCTTTACACTTTTATCATTGTGAGAATGAAGTTCAGAGCCATATTTAAATGTTGATTTGTATCTGTCAATTCATAAACTCTTTATGAATGTTAAATTCTTCTGTACCATAGTTTTTAATATCCACTTGTGTCTACTGGGACAAGCAGCCTAATCATCCACTGAGAACTAGTCAGAAATTAAAATATAATAGCCCCAATCCAAAAGGATGCAACTAGAGTTTGAGACTATTCCATTAAGTTAAATTAATAGGCAAATGAACATAGAGGAAAGACTTGGTTAGGAACAATGTTATATGTAACTGCAGAAGAAATAACATTGTAACAAAAGTACCAAACATTTCAAACATTTACGCTCATCAGTTTGCTTAGAGCTATTGTGTTGACCTCAATGCTACAACAAAGACAGATTTTTTTTTTCAGAATGATGGAGAGAATGGATTGCAGAGCAATTGCAAGATGAGTGAGGTTTACCATTCAAGCAGTACTGATCACCAGCTATGAATGAGCTTCTGTGTTCATTTCATGATCTTGCCTAACTTAATGAAGTTACATATTTTCAATCTTATTCATATATCTATATTTGCTCTTGTATTATATCTTTTTCTTTTCTAAACCTATTTGGTCCTATGGTGTGTCATTACCATTTTAGGAAATTACATATAATTGTGTAACCTCAAACATTTGTGTAGTTTAAATAGTAATAAAACTGGAATAGTAAAAAATTAATTTTATTATGTAAACAATACAGCCATTTAAAACTATATAAAATATACCATTTTATCTCCCATCTTATCGCTGTGGTACAGTGACCTTTAAATGGAAACTTTAGAGTTATAATAATATAGATGGTGATGTCAGTGATATCATTCTCAAAATGTTTAATGTCAAGTCTCCACCTCAAGGAGTAGATTCTATATTGGGAAATGAATATAAGGACAGAAGTAGAGGTCAAAGAATGAGGATACTTCCTCAGTAATACTTATAAACTCACATAATCACTTAGGTTATAGTTAATAGGCAGGAATAGATGAAATTCTGGAAATATATATTTTCACTGAATTTATCAAAGCAATCCTTAGATCTTTAGCCTGATGGCATCTTAAAACCTACATTTGTACTAATGAAAAGTAATATATATATATATTCTTGTCCTTCAAAAAGTCCAAACTAATATTATTCTAATATCTCTTGAGTTTGAAACACACACATGTGTGTGTGCACACACACGCAGACATTCTAAGATTATGAAGTATTTCTGGTGGTGTAGGTTTTATGAGCTGTGCTGCTCCCACAAGTCCTACGTTTGCAACCACCCGTGCTCTGTGGGGGAAAGTAAACGGTTTATTTTTCTCTCTAAAGATTTTCAGTGTCAGAAACTCAAAGGGTAATTTTACTCTGTCCTGCAGGGTCACTGTGAGTCACCATCCCCTTAGTGGCAGTGAGTTTGGTTTTAGTTTGCTGACACTATGATGTCACACTGATGTTGCTGTGTGTCAGAGTAACCCCAGGTGACAGAGTATAACAGGTTTTCTAAACTGTAATCTTTACAGAAGCAAATTGTCGGTAGTTTCCCTCAAGGAGCCATGCAGAAGGTCCAATCTACCAAACTTTTGGTGAGCAGCCAAAGCTTGAATGTGATGTCACCAAAACTCCTTTATGTATGCATAAAATTACTTAAATAAAATTGTTGGTAATCAGATGAAAAGTACATGTTTTGTTTAACAATGAAAATAATGGAAAGACTCATTAGATATATCCAAAAGAACAAACAAAACTGTTTTGGAAGAAGCATGTCCAGAATGCTCCTTGAAAGCAAGGATGATAAGGTTTTGTCTCAAACACTTTGGACATGTATCAGGAGAGATCAGTCTCTGGAAAGTTATATTATGTGTGGTAAGGTAGATGTTCCAGGAAAAAGAACAGTCTTGATAAAATGTATTAACACAATGGTTTTAATAATGGACTCAGGAAAACACCACAGGAAAGGAATTAAAATTTAACCTAGCTAATTTCTAAGGCATATTCTGAATGCATTTCTTCTAAGACTTACTTGCTCATTCCTCTGGCAGTCAACGGTATAT